AAAGATCACTTTCCCCACTATTTTTCAACACAGTGATCAGGCAACAGAAAGACATAAAAGTATCCAACTTGGGAAAGAAGTATAATTATCTATGTATGTAATAATGTATAATGTCTTTGTTTCCATGTAACACACCTAGAAAACACTCAGAACACCACTAAAATACTATTAGGAAAAATAACAACAGTCCAGTGGCAGGTTATAAAATCAAGTCAAAAACAGACTGTACTCCAGATGCAAAGAATGAACTAGAAGAGAAGAGTATTTTTACTACTGCATCAAAAAGAAAAACCTAGGAATAAACCAGAAACAAAAGATGTGTACAATGAAAAAAATGAGGCATTGTTAATCAAAAATGCAAAAAGAAAAAAAAATGGAAAGACATTTTCTGCTCAAAGGTTAGAAAAATGCCCATTGTTAAAATAGTCATCTTACCATAGGCAATATACAGACTTAATGCAATTCCTATTAAGTTTCAACTACATTCTTGCAAAGGACATTGAAAAAACAGCACTGAAGTTTACATATAACAGCAAAAGATCCCGACAGCCAAAAAAATCTTGACCAAAGGAAAAAAAAAAAAAGAAAAAAGAAATGGATATCACACTCCCAAATTTCAAACTATAATGCAAAGCTACAATGATTAAAATAATATGATATTAGAATAAAAACCAATGGAATAGCATTCAGAGCCCAGAAATAAATCCACACTCACATAGACAGTTCAACTATGACAAAGGGGCTAAGAGTATACAGTGGCAAAAGGAAAATCTCTTTGAGAAATGTTGCTAGGAAAACTGGACGCCTACATGCAAAAGAATGATCACTTCATACCATATTAAAAAAAATAATCAAGTAGATTACATTTGGATGTAAGACCAGAAAGCGTAAAATACATAGAATAGGCAAAACATTCCATTACACTGGTTTCCATGACATCTTTGGGGAGCTGACTCTAACAGCAAGGGAAATAAAAGCAAAACACAAGTAGGGCCACATAAAGTTAAAAAGCTCTGCACAGCAAAAACAATCAAAAAACAAAAAACAAACAAAAAAAACACCCTACCATCATTAAAGTGAAAAGACACCCTATTGAATGGGGAAAGTATATCTACAGAAAACATACACAATGCAACAACCAAATAAAAGTAAATAAATGGACAGATGAGCAAAATAGACACTTAACCAAAGAAGACATACAAATGACCAACAGGCACAAGAAAGTAACAGTCATCATCACTTATCACATCAAAAGCGGTAACAGCCACGATGAGGTATCCTTGCACAACTGAAAGACTAGCCCATATGGAAACAGCCCAAGTGCCCAAGGATGGAGGAACCAATCATAAACATGTCGTCTACATTTACATGGAATACTATTCAGGCATAAAGAGGATGCACTCCTGCTGTTTGGGACAACATGAATGGAGCTGGACAGGTTAATCCTAAACTAAGTAAATCAGAAGAAAGACAAATATAGAATGGTCTCACACATTGGAGCTGGAGTAATGTAACAAGGGGCAGTCAACATCAAACACCAGTGACCAAAAAAATTGAAGCACCCAGAGGGAAAAGGTGGCAAGCCCACAGAACAAGGTACCGGGCGATAGGCAGGGTGTGGAAGTAGACATTTTGGAGAAGTTTGTACCTACAACCCCCAGAGAAGATACAATACTGCAAACCTACTTTTCTTCAATAAACATCATTTGGAAAGGGGAGAAAAAATGGCCCATATCAAAAGGCCAAAAACAAGTGTTGATGCCTCATGCCATCAGTGGGAATGTAGAAGGGTCTGCCCATGTGGGACACAGTATTGAGGCTTCTCACAAATATGAAAAATGGACCATAAGACCTGGCAATTCAAACCCTCAGTGTCTCTACCTGAAGACCATAAAAAACACGTTCACTGTTTCCACGTTCACTGCAACACTGCTTACAGTAACTGACTTCGGGAAAGAAACTAAGAGCCTGAGGACAGATGGGTGCAATAAGATGATGTGGGATAAATGCATATACATAATGCATATACCCAAGGCTGCCTTACTGGAACAAACAAACAAACAAACAAAGATGAACTCTTGCCACTTGAGGTAAGACGGATGGAAATGTAGAGATTATGCTATGTGATACAAGTCAGAAAGAGAAAGACGTACCAGATGACTTCACCACGTGTGGAATATAGAAAAACAAAAGATCAAACAAAAACAAACCCCAGAAATCTGACTGTAGAGTTGAGGCTACCACAGATGGAGGCGGAGAGTAGGACGGAGACAGGCCCAGAGGACGTGGTGAGGACAGTGGGTGCTTTGGTGGGGGTGTGAACTTGTTCCTCTCAATCACATACAGTGCTGTAAACAAATGTATTCATTAATTCAGTTTTTTGTGTGTTTTTTTTTAAGTTAAGTGGAAATCCTAGACATAGCCAGGAAATGGTCCCGAACATCACCTCTTGAATTCTGCTATGTTGTGAGGCCTTAGATGTTGTTTGACATGTTGTGAGGCCTAGATGCTGTTTGACTTGAGTTAGCGGGACGAGCACCTCAGTTGCTCCAGCCTTAATTAAGAGGTCCTTTGCTTCCCCTTCCCCACATGGCATGAAAAAGACTCAGATAAAGTACTCAGAATTCTTTAGATAAATGCGGGGGGAGGGGGGGGGTAGGTGCTAAGCTCAGGGTTGTTAGGAATAACACTCCCGTGAATGTGTTTCCATTACACTTGAAACCACGCAGGTCAATGACAAAAGCAGCAACTGAGTTCAGGAAAGTAACTGTTTGTGGGAGCAGGTACCACGGGTTTGAGGAGGTAACAGACCAACTGCTATTGAATTAGGTTTAAGTTCTGACAGAGGTTCAAATTCTGAACTAAGGGGAAATGCCCCCTACACTGATTATCATCAGAACCCAGGTCTCTGGCCACAGCACCCCCACACTAGTCCCCCCATCCTTTCACCTGACCACAGTTGGCCATTTGGGTTTCGCACAAACTCACACATGACTGCCAACCCCAACATGGACACTCCTGCAAACAAATGAACAAAGCCCGAGTTTGTTTCTCAGAACTTTCCTCAAGGTAGAACACACCTTAGACGCTGATTCTCACAAGAACCTCTGTTCCTACGGATTCTAGATGCCATGTGAGCTAAACCTTGGGGAAAAGGTGTGTATGGGGGGATGTTGGGGGGTGGTGGTGGTGAAGGCTGTAGGGTCAGAAAATGGCAGGCTTTGGGAGGGGAAGAAAATGCATTTCCTGCTCAAACACCCTTCCCTTCTCTCCTGGCTCTTCCCATCGTTGTCGGATGAGGGGCTCCACAGGGCACCCCCTTTCAAGCCTCCATCTCAGTCTCTTTCAGTCTCACTCACATCTGCCTCCCCATCCAGGCTGTTTTGACCACTAGATGCAGCACTGAGTGCAGACGGGAGTGGAAATGGGGGCATAGGCCCTGCATTATTATCTTGCGGTCTGGGGGATCTGGGCTATCATTCACAGGTGTTTAAGCAAGACATCCTTTTGTTTTGGTTTTAGCCCAAGGGCGGTTTGTGGCCCTTTTTCAAAGATCCCAGCCTGGCCTCCCAGGGGTATCCTCTTCTCTGCTCCAGCTCCTCCATAGTGAGCCGCGCCGCGAGAGTCCGGCCTGGCATCCTCGTGTGCGCCCGCGCATGCAGCACACGCTCTGTCCAGGGCGCCCACTCTGGGCACCCTTTGTGCAGGACTCTCGGGACTCCCTGATACTGCACCCCGAGACAATAAATCAACAGCCGCGAGAAGAGGGGGCCTGTGCTTGTCCTTCTGGCGGGTGCTACTGCCCCAAGGCCTCTCTAAACACAGCTCACTGAAACCGTTTCCTACCCCTTTCCGCAGGACCGTGGCTCCTCGTGCGCCCTGGGTCTCCGCTTTCCTTCAGGAGGAGTTGACTTTGCTCTGCTCCAAACAGGCGGGGGACACAGGAGCAAGCTGGGCCCGCACCCTGCGTCGCCATCTTGGCCGACTTCCTTTCCCGGCCTCTTGCACGGCCCCTCCCAATCAGTGGGTAATGAGTTGCCGCTGCCAGGGCTGTGATGCGCGTAAATAAGCGTGAGATGCGGGGCAACGGTACTGCTTTTAAATTAGAGCCTCGCCTACCGTGTCTCTACGACCACCAGCCTATTAGTTTTCATTATGGCTTGCAAAGCAGAGCGAGTTCTGGCCGTCTTTACAGCAACCCTACTGGCCTGCATCAGGCAGATGATAGGGTTTCCCTCGCACACAGCCCTGGCCCCAGCACCAGCCGTTCCTGCAAAGGTGAATCCGTTGCACTGGCTGCAACGCGCCTTTGGAAACGAGCTGGGAGCAAATGTGGCCGCTTCGCCACAGCCCGGTCACAAATACAGGACAAACATGACAATCGGGATAAGGGTTTCCGCAGGGTCAGGGGGAATTCACAACTGTGCCGTGTGTCCACAGGGGGCATGTGAGTGGCAGCGTGTGTGTGTGCTGAGTCCTCCCAGCAGCACCGTGGCCATGGCACAAAGGAAACCTCGCCACCAGTCGCACCTGGCTTTTCTATCCGATAGGTCATTACCAGAATGGTCAGTTTAATTCAGACACAAAGTTCTAGAAACATTTTGGTATCAAATTACATGATGCACTGAGAAGACAAGGGTTTTCGTTGTATTTGTTGTTGTTGTTGTTGTGTGTGTGTGTGTGTGTGTGTGTGTTTGAAACGCTACCATCTTTTTCTCCTTGCTGGGAAGCGACATCTACCGCGATTTATTGATAAGTGCGTTTACTCTGGGGGCCTTTTCCTTTCTGTGATGTAAGGAGTCACACCAGGTTTATGAGCAGAGTTTATGAACTCATTGTTCCAGAATGGTTGCAGCGTTCTTTTTACAGTCTGGTGCTCTGGGCCTAGCCCCCTTCCAGGTGCTGAGGTCTAGCCCTGAGCTGGGTGGGGAGAGGCGCGCGCACCCCCAGTTATCAGAAGAGAGTCCCCTGACGGTCTCTGCTTTCTTTTCTGATTCCAGCAACAGGGAGCCGCCACCACCGTCTACTGCGCTGCCGCTCCGGAACTCGAGGGCCTGGGAGGCATGTATTTCAACAACTGCTGCCGCTGCAACCCTTCCGCCGAAGCCCAGAACGAAGACACGGCGCGGGCCCTGTGGGCGCTCAGCGAGAGGCTGGTCCAGGAGCGATTAGACAGCCAGACCACCTAAGGGGTGGCCGCAGCGAAGAGAGATGGGCACATCCCCACCGCCAACCCTATGCACCCATGGGCTTAATTGCCAGCCTAGACCCCTTCCGACCTGTAACCTGGGCGGGGACATGAGGTCCGTGTCCCTCCCATCAATCCGCCACAGTAGAAGAAATAGAGTAGTTGCAATAGCGTGAAAAATATTAGGTACCAAGGGGAAGTGCAGAGTGCAGGTGTGACAGGACAATCTCTTTGCTGGGGGCGATGTAGGCTTGGATCCCTTTGCTTCCATAGTGGTGGTCTGTTGACAGTGAATTTTCACTTGGCCTGTGGATTTCTTGTGTCCCTGCAGAAGCACAAATGGTTCTCGGTCCCCGTTCAGGATAGCCGGTGTCCCCCATCCCACTCGGTTACCACCCCACCACCACCACAGCCTGTCCGCAGCCAGGAGCTGGCTTTCTCCTATTTAGGACAGAAAAATCAAGTGTTCATCCTTCTTGGTTACATGGATCTAAGAAAGCCCTGTTTCACTCATCCTCACCAGGTGTGAGTGGGCTGGAAAGCTCCCTGGGAGAATTCTACACCTTGGAGGTGGCACTTGGCAATGGGTGGCACAGAGGTAGTGGGTCGCAAACACATGGGTCCATGGGCTCCCTTGCCAAAGCTATACAAAAAATTCTTTAGAGATTATAACAAACACATTTTGCAAATCATTCCCTAGATACCTTGACAGGTGGCAAAGGAAGCTCTGCGTCCTTAAGAATAAGCAGGATCTTTGGAGGGAGGGGCAAAGTCATTCTCTCGTTCTTCAGACAGTTTCTAGAAGCTTCCCCACACTAGTCAAGGCCTCTTAGTCCCGCTTCAGTGTTCTGCTTAGCCTTCCTCTTATCCGCCCATCTTAAGCTTAATAAAAGAACATGCTTGAGTATTGTCACCTGAAGTCTATATTGTTTCTTTCAATGTTTGTTTCAGTTTTGGTTTTTTGTTGTGTGTGTGTGCATTTTTTTTTTTTTTTTAGAAAAGAAATCTAGAGAAAAAAATAAAGCGCTTCTTGTCGACGCCAGGAAAACACCATTGTTGTTTCTTCTCTGAGTATGTTTTGTTCTTGTGCTTTGTGGCTGTCTGTGGGCCGAGCTGTCTCACGCGATGAGCATGCCAGCTTCGTATTTTCTGTGAAAGAAAGAAAGAAAAATGTGACTATCGCTTACCTTCACCCGGAGCGATTTGGTTAGTACGTCCAGTGGGTAATTTCAGCTCCCCATCACCAGTCTCCTCTCCCACGATCAGTTTCATGGGGATGGGGGATTAGCCCCATGGTCGAGGAAGGGGTTCACCTGAAGGCGCCTACCTATTCAGTTTTCATCACTTACAGCTTAAGTTTCAAATCCATCCACCCAGAGGTAAGGGCAAAGGCTTCTGCTGACATGCGAGGGCAGTGGGGAAGGGTGTAGGGACTGTTGCCCCCTGGCACCCGCAGGACCCCCGAGCCTCTGCTCTGGCCACAGTGCTCTCTACCATCACTACTTTTCCATGGCCGCTATATTCCTCCCTTACAGAACCCTTACAATCACAGCTCCCTTAATGTCACTCTTCTGACCTGAGGCCCCCAGTGTTTTTAGATTAACAGTTTGTAAACGCAGCCTTCACACATCTCCCCCAGGGTCCACACCCTCCCCCATGGGCCTCTCTCCCCAAACTCTGTCCTCAGCCAGGACCGGCTCTGGCCCCTTTGAGAAGTGCTCTCCAGGCTTTTTGCTTTCACACTCATCGCAAACCCACAACCTCTATCACAGGTGAGATGAGCCGAGGTGAGATGTATGGGTGCTCCCTGAACTCACACACGCTATAGCCGCCCCGCTGAGCCCATCCGGATGGAAAGAACCCGCCTCCTCCATCCGCACAACTGCAGTAAATGAAAGGTCATGTTAAGCCACCTCCTTTCAGGATTACTTGTTACACAGCAACATCTCACCCATGGAGTCAAGTCCAAGATTCTTGGCTTTTACTTCAACCAGGCGTTCTCTCCTAATCTAGTCCCCAGCTCTGATCTCATATTCTAGCACTTTCTCCTCAACCAGGCTCTACCCAGACTCTCTTCTTGTGTTCCTGTTGGCATTTCCCATCATGCTTTCCATCCAGAGACTGGCTTGGCTCTCTCCACTGCACTCTGCTCTCTGCTCCAGCAAGACCCCTTCCTGCGGAGGTGACATTGCTGGCATTGCATCTACAGGGATGTCCCCAATTGCCCACCCCTTACCCTTTGTTGTTCTCCACCATGCTTGCCACTGCTGGACACGCTCTGTGTCTATTTCCTACCATCCCTTTCCTTGCCTGTGAGATTTGTCTGTTTTGTTCATGACTGTGGGCACTTAGCAGTGCCCATCACCTAGCGGGCACGGAATAAGTGACCATTGAAGACAGGTGCGTAGGTACTGCCTACACTAAGATAATTTGCATCGTTGTCAGAATAATTGTGAACCATTAAATGTGCTGCAAATTGCATCGTTATAGCTAACACAACACAGCCTTACAGGAGGCCCCTCCTCCCTTGCCGGTCTCGTGGATGGGGAAACTGAGGCCAGAAGGCGGCATACCCAGCCATTGTCCACACAGCTCAGAAGCAGCAGAGTGCCCACGCACACCCAGTCAGGTGTCTTCCCTCACCCATGCAGACACTTCTAGAAATTTCACAGGACCTTCCTGATAGAAGGTACCATCTTCGACTTTCACTCTAAACAAAGAAGTCGCTCCATGACTCTAGCTAAGATCGAGGTGTGGAGCAAAGCTTGAAATCGAGTTTGGGCAAAGAAGACTTTGGGGTGTAGTCAGCCAAGTGATGTAAAAAATGTCAAGAGCACCAAGGCAGGATCTGCTGCCTGCTTCCTTGCACATGAGGCTCCATCCAGTTCCCAAAGGGCCCTGTTTAGGCAGGTGAGATGCAGGAACTTGACGGGAGGAGGAAATATCCCCCAGACTCCAGAAGCTTCCTGAGTCACACAGACTTCCCCTCATGGAGTGTTCCATGGTGGGAGTTCAAACTTAGGGCAGTCCCTGCCCGCTTGTGACTGACTATTCAGGTGTTTTCTGCACCAACCTTCTCCCTGTACAAAGCTGCTCAGGTCGCTCTCCTCCCAGCCTGCCCACCCGCGGCCGTGCAGGCCTCGCTTTGACAAGCCTGTCCCTGTCGGGGGCAGGTTTCTCTGCCCGCTGTGTCTATTCAAGCGTCCTTTACTTTCCTCCACTTTCTGTAATACACTTGCCCTTTTGAATATAAAAAAATAACAACAGTGTTCGGGGTAACTGCCCCTAGAGTTTGTATCTTGGCTTTTCAGTGTACAAGGTGCTAATCAACTTTATCAAAAGATTCTCTGGTTACTGGAGGATCAGCTGAGGCCTTGGACAATGGCCAGGCTCCCTGTCCCCTGTATCCCAAAGATGCTCCATCAGACGCTGCTAGAACTAAATCTGTAACCAGGACCTTATCTCGTACTTTTTGAATTTCATGGGGAATTCCGGGAGAGCAAGTGGGTGGTGTGAAGCCTTTCTCCTTGTTTGAGCTTATTTTCCGTTTGAGCCAGTCGCGACCGTGACTGATGCATGGATGGATATAAGCAGAGGTGTGACACACAGGTGCTCCGGTGGATATGTGCTATGCACCTTAATTATACAACAGTGAACCTCCTCAACCATCGTCACTGTCACAGCTGCAGAGACAATTTCCTGAATCGCTTCCATGTGCCAGGTGCTGGTCCAGGCAAATCCACCCATCTCTGTGTTTGTGTTTAAAGGACGAAACTACCTGCTGTAGGAGCCGATGAGTAGCAGGTCAGGATTCGAATCCAAGTCTATCACTTTCCAGCCCTCGCACCCAGAGACACAGAGACCAGAGAGCTCTGCATGTTACGCTATCCGCGGGGTGACTTACTCCCAGGGAAGACTAGCTGGCTTCCTGCCCAAGCCTGCCTAGGCTGTCCCAATACCCAGCGCCTGCTGTAAACTTTAGAAACCATCCATGCACCTGCTGTGCATGCAGCCATCTTTGCTTCCTACACCACGGCCTTCTGTTCCAGTTAAGTACTGTGGCCAGGCCTGATTTCCCTGGGTTTTTTCTTCTCTAGACTTCTCCACATCACCAATGTCATCGAGTCCACCACAGCAGAAGAGGCAACCAGTTTCTCTCCGGTCATTGTCTTTTAAGTTGTTCTCCCTTCCTAAGTGTCTTTCAACTCCAAAGGTAGTCTGTTTCTACTTTTGCAGCCGAGCAAGGGATCCCTTTCTGCAAGAAATTAAAGCAATGACTCGCGCTGTGGCTTGTGGTTTTGCTCTTTAAAATGGGGTGATGGGTGGTTTTGTTTTGAACTTCGACGAAGGAGGCCTGATTACTTTCATAAAGGTCAGGATTAGGCCAGAAAGACAGGGCTTACAAAATGGCTTCCTGTGTGGGCCACTAGGAAGTGCAATTTCTAGAAGTTGACATTTACATAAAGTATCTAAAACAGCAGCACTTACGGACGGGTTAACTCTTTGTGCCTTTCGAAAGATCCAGGCACATTAGGTTGAATGCATCTTAAGACCCCTAGGAGTACAGAGAGCTATCACGCCCATGCTCCCTACGAAAAACTGGCTTGCGTGACATCTGCTGATGAGAACCGGATGGACGGGACATAGAAGCGATTTTTAAAAAGAGACATTTTCATCTGGTCTCTTGGCTTTCAAGTCTCCCCGGCCCCCTCTTCTGGCCTGACTACCTGACCACCTCAGGTCTCATTTTCAGCTGTTTAAAACTGCACCCAATACAACGTCTTGCTGCTGGGCCAACATTTGGAAACCCCAAATGGGGCGTGAAGACTACTTCCAGTTTTTGCTGTTCCGGTGGTTCAGTCCACATCCTCATGCACAAGGCTTTCCCACAGGCTTGTAACAGGGGAAGCCCCTCCCACTGCGAGAGGACCTCAAGGCACACCAACAGCAGCTGGGGACAGGTCCAGGGGCTCAGGGGCTCTGGTTCTCCCGAGTCGCGTGTGTTACCTGAAGAGTTACCACCACCAGGACCTGTAGACCCCTGTCTTTCCTTTTACAGCCTCATTCATGTTGAGTGTGGCCATGAAGAACAATTTTCTTTTAAAAGTTTAATATCATATACTCATGGTCTGTAACTCTTTCTAGACACAGCCCCAGCAGCCAGCCCCTCATCTGAAGAATCAGTGTCCTGTCTTCCGTTTTCCCAGTGGGACAAGTTCACGATTTTTTTAAACACTGAATATTACATTTCTCTCTCTCTCTCTCTCTTTTTTTTTTTTAATTATTTATGCATACAGAGCTGGGATATAGGCCAGAGGTGCAAGGGCAGTGAGAGGACTCACCAGAGACAAAGTGTGGAGCAGAACAGGCAGATGGAGGAAGTACACTGCTGAGGGGAGCAGCGGGCGGGTCAGGAGAGGTCTGTTGTGCCTTGTGGTCACCTCCGAGACCAGGGATCGAACCCGCACTGAAGCGGCTGTGGCTGGCTTGCAGTGCTGCGCTTTAAGCCGCCCCGCCACCAGGGAGGGCCTACGCTCATGATTTTAATTAGGGGTGAAAAGTCTAGGAGTCAACTCTCAGTTTGGGTGGAAATAAATCAGGTCAGCCCTGCTCCTGCGCCGTCACCACCCTGTTCAACCAGTGAGGGTACTCTCTTATTCTCCTTTACAGTCACTATTTGAAGCGCTTTTGGGCTCCCCCTGAAT